CTTATACTGACCACGAGCGTTTGGAGAACGCATACAGCATCAATGATTAGTGAGCACAATCTTTAAAAAAAACGCATATAACTGAGGGAAATACACAACAGAGTACAGAAATGCAAACTATAAATTCCTTTCGCCATCTTATTGTTGTAGAAACATATTTACATCAAAATCCTGGGTTGGAAACATGGCGAGAACGAGAGTAATGGTCCAGAAGACAAGAAGTCTGTTCACAGAGTTGGACAGAGTATAGATCGTGGAAAGATAACAGGATAAGGACGAGAGCTAAAATAAATGATGACGAGGTCACTGTTAACCACTCAGGAGTGCGCAGTCGCAGTCTAAGATGAGAAATATGTATGTCAGTTTGCGGTAAAAGACATTGTTTCCATGTTTGCGTATATATCTATTACTTTGAGCTTCAGTCACTGCAGACAGTGACAATTAAAAAAATTGTATCAAGTCACACACACACACAGACGCTCTGGGTTTGTGGAATAAAATGTGTTTTTTTTTCCATTACCACGACTATTTAATGATGATAAAAATCAATAAGCAACACTTATGAAAATAAGTTTCGTGTACTTTTTAAATGTATTTCACACAGCTAAATTAAAACAACCTTTTGTTTCTGTGTAGGAATTTAATTACTAAAACTTCTAATCCGTTAAAAATACAACATATGAAAAATAAAATACAAAAACATCCATCATAATATTAGAAGTCATCAAGATCATTACTGCAGGCCTGTCAATTCTTAATCCATGTCTATATTCTTGCTGGTGATAAACGTATCTTTCTTTATCATCAGCACAGCGACTACTTTCAAAATTCCTTTAAGAATGTCTTTCTTGACCCAAGAAAATGATCAAATGGCAATAAACTCTAATGAAATTTTGCCAAAACAAACTTAATAAAATTATCTTCTGACAACGAAACTTGTAATAGTTTATATATAGGTCATGACAATACAACAGTTGAAGAGGTGGGAACAAGCAAACTTTAAATTGTAAAAAATGGTGTTAAATACGCCATGCTCTTTACTGTCGGGCGTTGTGGACAAGACGGAGAAGTTTCGATCAAATTCCGACATACACAGTACGAACACAAAACATAAAAATGACCTACGTACGCCAAATGCCAACTGCACTAGTCATTAAGAAGTTGCCGATGTAATTGATCAAACTCTGCCATCTACCATTAAAAGTTTAAATGAAAGATTGTCTTCCATCTCACTCATTATTCTCTACAGAATGATAAGAACTTATTTTTAAATATTTATACAAACAGCTGTAAAAATTACGTACTTTATTTGCGTTTGTATTAGGATGTGTCCCACATCCTTATCTATGGAATGAAAATAAATTCTATTCAATTAAAAAAATTAAAGTGAGCTAACAGAATACGTAAAAAAACAAGGGGACTTGTAGATGGCAGCCTTCTGGGACATCGCATCATGAAGTCTCTTAAAGATGACTGACATTTCACAGGTGATGATTCTCATCGCCCTGATGATACAGGCAGTATCAACCTCCGAAATGTAAGTAAATTTCTACGACACTACGTGGTGCAATATCGCAGTATGCCATCGTCTTCAGACTCACTGCCATAAGAACCTGATAACTCACCACGATGCCTTACTCACACTGAAAATGAGTATCATCACTTCCACTACAACCATCGCAACCACCAATGCACGAAAATTGTTTAAAAAAGAATAAAAATGGAAAAAAAACTGCACAAAATAAAGTTAATGTTCACTGGGACAAGACATGAAACAAGAAAAATTGTGCATGTAACTCAGACAGCAGGATCAACAAGGACTATATACAATTTTAGTCCACAAACATGAAAGGAAAACGATAATTAACAAGACCAAGACAAAGATGGGGTTCACGGTTCAACATTTGGCTTATAATGCAAGACATGCAGCAGCTTCACGATGCTGATACGGAAACCAGCCGCTGGACACGATCCTCAGACGACGTACGTGGAGCTCCCATAATCAGAACCCGCCTCCCAGACATTCATTTAGTAAGACTCCAAAATTAACAAAAGTAATTAAAGCTGTAATGAGAAAAAAGGGACAAAGGTAACGAGCTGCGAACATTTCAATTCCTTGAAAACCATTTAAGAAAAAATGCTCTATAACCACACTCAATTCTCATCTGCTTATCTTTCAGATAACATTCTAACGTGGAATGCTGTAAATTGGTCGGGACTCCTACAGAATGTCTCTTTATCTCCAGATCAACGAAGTGTGTACACATTTTCAGAACATCAAACTCTGAAGGTCACTCACTTGCCGCCCCCCCCCCACACACACACAAATTTCTAGCTGTAAACCACACACATGAAGAGGACACAGTCTTCTGGGATCTCACGCCATGTAGTCCTGTAGAAACTGACTTACGTTACAGAGGTGCTTACTGCTGCCATCATCTGGGCAAACCACAGTAAATTTCTACCAGACAACATCCCAGAAGACCACCACATCATGAGGAATTGAAAAACTCACTTAATTCAATCGAATGTTAATTACGTCAAACTGCGGTTTCCACAAAGACAGGTTTTAACGAGGAGCCACTTAAAATAAAATTTGATCTGACTGGGCATCAAACCAACGTCACAAGATTCAGAATACTCGGAATCACGAGACCAGTTTAACTTACAAACTGATAAGCTGTGACAAAAGTGCCACCAATACCACCTTCTTATCATGGCACACATCTTTCCCGACCAGGGGTTGGCAAAGTTTGATCCAGACCACTGGAATGTCAACACGACCTTCGATCAACTTTTACTTTATATAATTACTGACATTACACAGGAAACTCAGGTAAATAAAAATACTGATATAAATGTCAGTTCTGGTATCCCTAGCACGAAAGCATATTCGGCATTTCGTTTACCACGCTTAATACAGGAAATTAAAGAGTCACCACATATCTAAATTAATCTGTCAAAACACCAAAACAAATCATTAATAATGTAATTTATTTTCTGGAATTTTTATATATATCAACCATGTTCAATCAGTGCAAATAATTATACGAGAATTAACAAAATCTGAGCAGCGAGATCGTTCCACACGACGCCCTCTAATCTAAAAGCAACCGTGTCTGTCCCAACTGCTGTTACAAAACCGATCACAAGGTTAAATATTAAAATGTTTTCTATCATTATTATAAGACAAATTAATAAAAAACAGAGCTCAATGTTGGGTTGTGACTCCGTGTGGAGCTCCATTTTCTTTCAGGCGGAAAATATTTTACAAAGCACTACGTAAAGATTTATATTTCAAGCAAAGTGGAGATTTTGAATCAGGCAATGACTCAAAATGGGGATAAAATAGGATGGACAAGTCAGTTTTCAGCTAATTTAAAAATTATGTTTCATATGCAAATACCATTGGAAGTGATAAGAATATGACCAGATCATAAAGAAGGATATGGAAGGAGATGTTCAAGATATTTTTTGAGTCACTGTCCCATGGAGAGACTGAGTAAATCCACAGAAAGACCAAAGTCTGGATAACCAATAAATCGGCCAGGTAAAACGACATGTATGGAGCGTTACCGTAACAACACAGTACAAGAAAAGCATCGCTACTGATCGAGGCACACGAGATCTTACTCTTCTAGGAAGATGTCTGAGGAACGATAAAATTTGACAGTCACTACACTAGACTGAAACATCAAAGCAAGTTTCAATCAATAACCAAGAACATGGTAAAATTGAATAATTCTGAATATGTAAGGACATTTAAAATATCTCAATCGAAACAAGGTGCATACAATTCCATTCTTTTTCTCCCACTACAGCAGGGGGCAATAGTGTCAATCCCACTGCCAGCATTATCACAACCATTGTGTTGGTATTACTGATTATATCAATACTATGTCAGACGCGGTACATGTATTGGGAGCTGGTGCTAAAGCCACGTAGAAAACAACGTGAACGTCGATGATGACTGTCTTCAGGGACGTTGCGCTATGTAGTACCATAGGAACTGACCAACATTTCAGAGGTGTTTCCTGCCTCCATCATCAAGGTGATAAGTACCTCTGATAATGGAAGAAGTAAGCACCTCTGAAACGTAGGTCAATTTCTACCAGAATGCACGGTGCAAAATCATAGAAGAGTCGCCTTCACATCCAACACCATGAGAACCTGAAGTCTCACTATGAGGATTATGTATTGGTATTAGCGGTGCTAATAATTTTGTGTTCTGTTACAAGAAAGCTAAATTACATATAACTTCATGAAGCAGAATTTTTCTTGAGAAGATCACAGTTGCCCAGCCTGTTAAGAAATTCCCCACCTAATACAGAACCCACAGAGTCATTACCGTGTCCACAAAGGCCCGTCACTGGTCCCTATTCTCTGCCATGTGAATTCGATTCTCACCTCATTTCTAAATTCCCAGAAACTCGACACCTTCAACAGCTACAGTACGCCACCTCATATTTAGACGCACGACAGAATTCAAAGGTTCGATACCATCACTACCAAAGCCCATCGATAGACACAAACCTGAGCAATCTCCCATACTTACAATCAAGAATCCTAACAACCATTTTCCAAGACATTTCCTCAGCAAAATTCTGTAAGCATTCATCATCCTATCCTAGTCAAACAACCCGGCAGTGTTACCACAGATTTCACTACTGTGAAAGTACTATGCGACATGAATAAATCACAAAGATCATAGCTGCTTCATGTCATAAATTAAGCAAATACTTCTTACATCTTAGAACCAAATATTTCCCAAAAATTCTTGTTCTTTCCTGAAGGTAATAAAATAAATTTCATACTGAAGCCTATAACATAAAAAATTGTAATAATAATAGTTGTACAAAAACTAATAGTACTCAGAAATATGCCCTCTAAAATACTGTGATTACATACACGACCTGCAAGAAAATCTCTTGTCATTATTATCAACCTGTGAAACTTGACTAAATTAAAGCTAAATTAAACAAAAATTAACTTGTACTGACCATTGGATGACTTAAGGTCTCGATGGATGAGTGAAATTGGTGCTCCATTGTGCAGATAATTCATGCCCCTAGCAATCTGAATAGCCCAATCGACCAGTACGTCAGGTCGGATCTTGCGTCCTGCCAGAACACGATTGAGGGATCCCCCACGTGCATACTCCATCACCAGGCACAGATTGGGCATCTCGAGGCACACACCCTCCAGAGACACAATATTATCATGTTTAAGTAACCAGAAGAGCTTTGCCTCTTGACGCACATTCTCCAGAGTAACACTGATGTCTTCATCAGGATCCTGGCGTGCAGCCTTCACAGCCACCTCCTGATCCCGCCAGAACCCACGGTACACTTTCCCAAAGCCCCCCACCCCAATAACTTCTTCAAGGTCCAGTTCTGCAAAATCAATCTCAACTGGCTGAATGTCACCTATCACGCTTGAGACGTGGTCGATAACATCTTCGGCGACAAAGTTGGCTGGGAAGATGCCCACTTTATCACCAATCTTACCAGTCCACCAGCCCTCATCACCAGAAATTTTGGAATCTGTGGATAGGACTTCAACGATCTCCCCTCTTCGCAGGCTGAGTTCATCCTCCCCTTGCGCCTCATAATCGTAGAGGGCGGTCCATAGAGAGACAATGCTACCCTTTTTGCTGTCG